ATCAACTGGCCACTAAGTCTCAGTTCATGTGAATAAACGAAGTAGACGGAGTTGCGCCTCTAACTCATCTTGAGTGGCGCGGAATGTTTGGCTTAGTACCCACCCGCAATAACCTAACCCGTGTCCAGTGCCGACTTATGATCGTCTGAGGTCGGTATCCTATTGTTAGGGCAAAGGAACTCTAAGGGTCCGCATGTGGATCAGTGACGTCCCACTCTTCATCCAAATCACTACACCATCCAAGTTCGGAAAAAAACTAAGTCACTTTGATGGTAATCTGTGATGATCCCAAGAATAACTTTTATGCAAAATGAATGTTCACGAATACCACACCAGGATTGCTGCAGTTGCTGCAGTTTTAGGTTTACCATTACCAAGTTTTCCAGTTCGATGTCACCTGCGACCTTGGCATCTCACATGTTAAATTCAGTGTTGGATATTCTTCGTTGGAAGTGTTTACTAATGGTGGTCAGTTCTAGTCAAGTGCCACAAGTATTTTTAGCATGGGCATGCACCAATAGGTCAAAACGTCTGAGCCGTATACGACCACCCCTATTTTCCTGATGTATCACATAGATATTGGACCACTTTGGTGACACGAGTTGTGCTGCCAGGTAGATGGGAAACGGAACGCATGATGGTTGTCGAACATCGGATATACCAATGCCGTCTTCAGCTCGTAACCTGATTTGAGACCACCATGTTTCAGTATCCTTGGTTGTAACCATTTTGAAAAGACCTAGCCCAAGGCCACTGGTTGGGCTCTAATTTCAATGCCATCCGTGAACCACATAGTCACAGTTATTGTGAATAGAGTGCGTTTTTCTAGTGAAAGAGGCATTGGTACTGACTTTACGATCCGAACTGGGTGACAGTCGTAGATTTCAACCTGACCCAATTACAAGAGCTAGATTCCCTATAATAGCGTTGTTATTTTATCTGGCTAACGAATCATGTCTACCGACCATAGTTACCAAGTGTATATATATAAAAGCCAGTTGGGAACACCAGGTACGATACCAAATTCACGCTACACACTTTTATGACTTAATTGTTAGGTAGAAATTCATTGCGTCTAGACTCAGCTAGGGTGTAAATTCCAGCCGCCTGCAACACACCCCCTTACTGTGTCGTTGAAGTAAGTTCTTTTCTTGGTTTGCATGACACTCTGGGTGGTGATACCGTCAGTACCAGTAAGGCAGCTGGCTTGTCACATCGAAGTAACTTGTCATTTATGTGGTGATAGATTGCAATGTGAGTCTGCTATGTATGGGTGGACAGAAACGAATGAATCGTGTCGCTACACCGTATTTTTCACGGGTGGTCACTCGGTCCAACCGGGGGAATCTTATTACGGCACCGTCGTTCCATGAAACGCGTTTGCATTTTTCACAGCAATGGAACTGCGCTACCCGTGCTTTGTATTCATCTTAGGAAAGTTATAAGTCTAAGGCTGCTGTTGATTACAACAATGTGTGTAGACCGACATAGTTCGTGACATCGCACCTGCTTGGCTTTTGACAAGGTTCCGTTATTCTAAAACACTGCGGAGTCCGTCATGTCTACTTCCCTCGGACACGAAGTGTCAAATATCTTATTCGGTCTCCCGGACCGTTTAATCATGTTCCTACTTATTTATTTGTCTCAATTCTCACACGGGAATGCGTAAAAATCGAGAAGTTTAAATTCCATTTGTACTTGCAAAAACGCTTGCAATACGTCCCATTCCACCCCTAATAGATGGTTGCGTGGATACCTACGCCCTACACAATATTGAAGAAGCAGAGACGAATGCAAACTGATTAGGTCTAAGGCAGCAAATAAAACCTTAATTACCTTGTAATTCAACGTAAATTGCTGTCAACTTTTGCTTCCATGTACTGAGGCAGCTGTCCTACCAAATATCTCAGGAAGTAGCTACTCGATAGGCGGCACTCACTGAGATGCATAAGTGGTTGAATGTGTTTTTATCGTTAGAGGTTTGTACAGAGTGAAAATTACTGCTCTCACGTGTTTTTGTGTGCTTGTGGTTAAAAGAAGTGACAAAACTTATCAAGGTCGATGATCAGCGCAACGCTATCCTCCGGAGTATTGCGTGTGACTTAGGCAACATTGAACTGAACTTCTAAATAAGATACATTCACGGTTTTCTCAATTTATCTGTCTAATAGTTCTCAACTAGGAAATCGATAGAATCATTTACAAAATACACAGAAAACAGATTTGATCCTGCAGATCACATAGGACGGAGAGAATTTGGTTAACATTTTACAAAATTTAATCTATACCAATTTCAATTACATAGGTTAATTTAATGCTGGAGTTATCGAACACAGCTCCATCTTTAAGAAATCTGCCAAACTGCACAGAAACACAGAAGTTTTTGACTTAGGTGGTGTTAAGTAAATTAACTTTTAACTAAATTTGCGCGAATCAGGACGATTCTTTTTCAGTTCAACACTCCTCATTTACCAACCGCTCGAGCCGACACTGCTGTTTCATCGAATGCTATGTTGCGGATTTCGTTGTTTGCTTTAGCACAATTTCAAGCAACCTTGCTTACTGTCCAGTATCTGGCCGGTTTTACTCAGAGGTATGATCCAATCCAGAAATTATGCGCGGAACATCAGCTCATAAATAATTTTTACGGCTCACGGCATCATCTTCCTGATGTTGCGTTGTCAAGCCGGTTATCCGTGGTTCCTGATTTACTTATACCGTTATCCAGTACTCATTGAAATGCAAATACTATGACCGATTCTGGTACCACATATACAGCTGATACGCCTGTGTGATGACAGCTGACAAACGGAATGATACAGACCTTGTTCGATTTTCTCTTTCCTATCTGCTTTTTGTCGTAGTGACAGACTACTCAAGCGTAAGTTCGACTAGTTTACTGAGCAGTTGTTTTGATGAGTGAAATGTTGCGTTCTATTTCAGCAACAGATTACTTGTTTAACTGCTCACTTATCCTCATCCCAGTGGTCGTGTGGATTAACATATAAAACATAACTCAAACTCATAAAAAATGGAGCACATAAATGTAGCGTCACATACTCCCCATAGGCGCTCTGTGTTTTGTTGTATGGAATTGATCAGCTAAGGGATGTCCACTACTTCGGCTTGGGCAACCGGGTAGTATCTCGCCCTCTGAGGAAACCATGGACATTGTTGTGTTGGGTTTTATTTTACTGTTTCTGTACCTTCGTTTGAATCCCATGGTTTCTGATGGCATTATGTCTGTTAGCAGACTTTTGCAAATATATATATATATATATATATATATATATATATATATATATATATATATATAAGGGATGTCCAAAATTTCTGATAAGGTGGCTAGATTTTGTGAGGAAAAAATATGTCGGGCTGTATTCAGTCTTGACATTAAGATAATTACAGCAATTACACGTGTGGGAAAGAAGCCCAGGACTGAATTTATTAGAATGAATCAAGGGAGGCAGAATCTGAGTAAAGAATTCTTTTCGGTAATTCTCATCGGACTCAAACATTTCATGATGAGGAGAAACTGCTACGTGTGCGGCATTGGTTTGCGTATTGAACGGAATGTTTAATTTCACGAGTACAAATCAGTGAATCACGAGGTCATTGGAAGTGGCAAGTATGTACAGAGGAAATCAAGACTGAATTTATTATTTCATGGTGCGGCCGCGGGCCAGTTGAAATGTTAACGCATTTGGCCCGCAACCAGACTTTGGACATCCCTGGACTAGATGATTAGCATACTTCAGCCACATTTCATAAGGAAAACACTTTTCTGTTTCGTAGCAAGTTCCAGTGCTCAAATTTGCGAGGTATATTTTAAAGTGATTCGTGATGTCCCTGTTTATTCACGCAGCGAATCTTTTTAACAGATTTCTGCCCCACCAAAGCAACAGTTTCTGTTCAACATCTTTGATGCATCTTTGGCGGGTGAGGGGCGCACTGGAGGGATCATTTTGTAGCACACAATGCTCAAATGGATTGTCACATGCAACTTTAAGCAGGTCCGCAATCTACGCCGAAGTGGGCTTAGTCAATTCTGACACTGAGGCCGCAGGTGAAGCAGAGAATTGCTAGGTGCCCGCAACACACCGCACTTCACGACCGGTGGTCTCACACTCGCACGGGCTCCGCAGGTAGATTACAGCTGGAACCTGACTAGCGCAAATAAGTAGGAGACCGACCGTGGGATGAAACGTTGTGAACATGCAATACACCAAATACTTCAGGGACTAGACATGCGTGTTCCTTTTCGTGGTAGGACGCAAAATGCCTGTGACTGGGATGTTCAACCATGTTGAATCGTGGTTCACTTCAACTATGCACCTTTCTCTCAAAAGTTGTTGGTGCATTTTCCACAGTCTAGTAAAGGTGCTAAACTTTCAGTGAATGGTTTGTACCAAGATCAACTAAGCAACATTTTACTACACATGGCTGGACAGATGTCATAGCTTCTGATCCTAGATTTTATGAACTAAATACGAGCTCTGATTATACGCTTTTAAAATACTAGCGAATACTCGGATGTTGTTTCCCAACCTTAGTCTGTTGTGGCCATGTCTTTAAACAGACTTGTTCCGGAGAACGGACCATGTAGGACAACGGCTATACCTGCATTACAAAGCACAATTTTAAGCTGAATTCTTAACTTACAAAAGGTCTACTTGACTGTATTCTAATGTAGAATGCCTTTATTCCTTATCTGAAACTTGGGTTGACTGGTAGAACGAACGAATTCTACTGCATTCAGCCCAACATAGAACTAAGTTGGGTTTACAATCTGGGTCTCTGTTATTTTGTTATTCGTCGAAGCTAATTCTGGACTGGTCAAACGGTGGTACACTCACGACTAGTCTATCTCTGGGCTTTCACAAAGTTCCCTCCGAGTCAGTTGGCTTTTTATTACTATAGAACTCTATATCTTTCCCTTTGCTACGTAAAATGAACAACCTCACTTACGTCAGCCACAGTAGCCAAATGTAGGTACTTACCCAAAATCTCACTAAAGTATGGCGATGTGCCTGAACCGTCAGTAGACACACCAGCGGGCCAATCCTTCCAGTGTTGCTGTTGCTGCCAGTCAGACTGAACAACAAGACGATAGATAGCAGTGTTACATGCACAACACTTTTTGACCGGTTTCGGTATCTCCTGTACAGAACACGCACTCGCTTCATCGGAGCCATAAAATCCATTAAACTATACCCATACACTCTCCAATATTAACTCATTTAATCTTTTAATTCAAAATAACTCTACTAAAATTACATCACCAATTAACACCTCAAATCAAATAAATGTTACTTTCCATAAACTAAATAATTCCATCCCATAAAAATATTATAACCCTATTCCTTTCACAAACTTATCAATAACCCATCCACCTATAACCTTAATAACCCCATAATACATCAAAAATCCCCCCCCCCCCCTATCACCTTACCCCCTTAATCTCCTAATAAACCCCAAACCATATAACCCTATCTCCTATAAATACCTCATCCCCTATAAACCTTCTATTCCAATATTTCACCCCCCCTAATAACACACTAAACATTTAATAAAATCTATACAACACCATCCTAATAAATTATTTCACAAAATATGATTTCTAAACTTGCCTTACCCTGTGACTTACTCCATACTATACCGATTGATTCTATTAACTTCGTCACTTTACCTCACCATTCACTATATACCATCTAATTCTCCTCATCCTATATAAATTTATCTCATTATACAACAAAATCCCTACCTTCAAAAAAACAAAATTACAAATCTTCAAACCTATACCATCAATCTATAACCCAAACACTCCCACTCAATATTCCTACACCCAAACCAACCCCCCCCCCCCCCCCCCCCCCCCCCCCCCCCCACCCCCCCCCATCGGCCAGAATATTCCTTTATTTCCACTGCCTCTGATTCGCGTTGAACCTGGAGGTATAAGCCTCACACGCATTTCGTATTCACCATCTCCTGGACGCCGAGTGAGACGAGGATCGCTTGGTACTTGTCTGCATGAATAACTTGTGAAAGTTGGCGAGTGAAAAGCAACCGAGATATCGGGATAGTGGAATGTCAATAATATGGAAATGATACCTAGCCACCAGGTCACTGTTATCATATTCGACCGATTAATAGACATTTGTGAAGGATTGTAACTGACTATACTGTTTTTAATAAAAGTATATTTATGCAGTATGCTGTGTTCTCAAGTGCAGCACTGATAGCGATATGTTCGGAGCCTTGACATGGAATGCTTTGTGCATTTCTCTAATCCATATGCGACATTACTGCAGCCGAACTGCGGATATGCATATTTGTGCCCAGCTCTCACCAGGCCAATCAGCTGCATGCTTTAGACTCGCTTATGATTGGCTAAAGTATGGCGTAAATCGTTGGCACCTCTCAATGCGTTGGCGGCCATTTCTTTTGTCTGAACGTTACATCACTGCAAGTATGGTGAGGATGGCAAATAAGTTATTGCTGCCGTATGGAAGAACTGCGACAAGGAACTTTGTTGTTTGTTTTTTTAATTCTGAGTATTATGGTTACGCTTGTTGTTCCTGCACCCGAAAGTTATCACCCAGTTTCTGGCATAGGTAGTGTACCGGAAAACAGGCTCTTTCAGTACCTTGAAACATGGGATTTTACGGTTGTTTTAACCTTAAAAACATCCACTTGTTTTACTGACAGCATATCCATGACACAAGTTATGTTGATGAGTACCTTGCCGCACCGTTTCTCGCTCTGGTTGATGCGCTTCCTCTTTCTGTAGCCTGCACAATATACGTTGGGTTCAGTCGCCTCGAACTTCTATACTGTCCCGTAGTTGACACGGCCCTTAAGTATCATTGATTACCGACTGGTATCCCAGGCTCCACCCAAGACACACGTCTAGCATCTGTAAGCAATTAATAATCCTACTAATAAGTAAAACCAAAATGAATCGTTTGAACATGTGCTCGAGGTTTTATGGTTTTTGGAAGGGCCACTTGGAGAGCGTTCAGCTCTAATGGATAGACTAACAAATGCAGTGTCGGCTGCGGCTGTGTGCCGTTTGCTTGGAACAGACAGAATACAAGAAGGTGTTACTCAAATGCTGTGGTCCAGTTGCTGTGTTGAAAAGGAGCGTATTGCAAACGTCTTTCCAAATGCACAGAGTATATGGATGAATGTAGATACTGTATATTAGTATAGAATAGTGCCATTTCCATGGTTTGGGATGGTAACCAGGATGGTTCACGGGCTAGCATATCAGCAAACGCGAAAGCTTTTTTAACCACATGCTGCTCGTCCATCCTATAGATTGCAATATCACATTGGAATATGGATGTTAACAGTCAAGAGTGAAGAAAGGAATCGTGTCAATTACAGCGAGTGGTCTGGTCGAGGATGACAAACAGCCTACCAAATATTATGATGGAATGGTCCATTAAGTATACCGGTTAACATATCTAGTGGAGAAATGGTCATTTGAGTCTACATGTTGCTTTTCTTGAAACTGTCTGCTTGCTAATGTACAGTGCAGATTCCGGCTGTCCTTGAAACCAAATTTATACATTCGGTCTAATGACCATGATTGATGGCAGAACTAGAGAGCTGTGGGGAGCCGCACAGGAGGAGTGTAACTCCAGTTTAAAATCAGGACGGATACAGTCGTAGTACCTGTGGTCATGTAGGTTAGTCGATCGTTTCCGGGGTGCTCCATATCACTGGTACACCTGGCAAACACGCACTGCAGCCGGCTTAAGTCAACTAATAATATTATTATTAAAAATAATAATAACAAGTATATTTTCCGGCTGTGCGAGAAGCTGTCCCTAGATGGTGGGCACATCATGGGTATAATAACGATCACGCTCATGTATGAGTGAGATGTGTATTCTGGGGTGTGTGATCTCAAAATAATTTGGAATCACATAACTTTCATTGTTGCTGAGCTTTGTGTACCATCTTTACTCATTTGTTATATATTCCTTGGTCTATCCTTGATGAACTTGTGTGGTGCTTTTCCTGATGGAAACATGGCCATTATCGAGTTCTGGTCCAGGAAGTTACTAAGTTGAATGCGGAATGTTCTCGCATTTGTGCAAGACCTGATTGTGGCTAGTAGGCTATTCCACACGACGGTGTATCTGACGAGGAAGAAGGTGGATCTGATAACTGTCCTGGTTCTTTGCACAGTTAATTTGCAGGACTTGTTGTGAATATTCCGAGTGAAGTTTTGCCTCAACTTTAGTGTGCGCAGAGTGGTGCACGTCTTTTGGTTTATGAGGTTGTGTATCACATCGGTTTATGTTTCAGTCATCGCAACCAAAGGGGCTCGAGCTTAAGCTGCTGACAGCGTTCCTGATAACTCAGGATGGCTGCTTTACTGAACAAGCGCTTGGTGAATGATCCTTGCAACATTTCCAAAGCTTTCATGTCACCCGTACGCAACTTTTCATGAATGACGCTACAGTATTCAAGGACTGGAAATGTGAGTATGTTGAAAAGCTCGATTCAGGCAGGAGTTGTATGAAATTTATGGCAAATGTTAGCCATGAATCGTTTGGCACGTGTTATTTGATACTCAGCTTGCTCTGAAAAAGCACGTGCGCCTTTCGAGTTGACTGCTTGAATGCACCGTGACGAATTATTAGTAGTTTCGATTCATCAATCCTTTTTATGCACCTGCAAGAGTCGGTATCTCTATTAACAGTTTAGATACTTGGTTCCTAAACGTGGGCATTTTATTTTCGTCTTCTCACTCACTGATCCTTATTTGCAAGTAATCTGATCTCCAATGCGCTTCCCTTAACATTGTTTCACTTTACAGACTGTGGTTTCTTCTAAGAAAAGTGGAAAAGCTTTTAGCTGGGAGCTCAAAGAATACTTAGCAAATTTTATGTATTTTGACAAGTATAGATTGTAGCGCCCAAAAGATAACTCTTCTCTTTCATGTATAATTTACTTGTTGACCGATTGTACATTATTCCTTCTTGTTTTAATCGTCCTTACAACCGGCTCGACACTCGACAGCCTTGTAAGTTCCCGCGCACAAATGTCCGCTCTCTTCTCGATTCATCCGTCCGCTTCTTTTTGTAGCCCATCGAATCTAGTCCGCCGCCTCCCACGACCGATCACCGTGGTCGGGAGGTGCGTAAGCCCGTTCGTTTCTCTGACTATGTACAGTGTAAATACTTTTAGCTTTGTAGATACTGTATGTATTTGCTCCATTTTTGGTCGAGTAACGTTTTGAAAACAAAAATATCAAAAACCTCCGAAAAACCTCTTTCGAAAAAATATTCAAAAACCATAAAATTAAACACGCAGATCATTCGTTTGTTCTTTTTGGTGTTTTCTGCGCGTTTTTTTATTTCCTCGTCTCTACATGCCCCAACCCTCCCCTTCGACTGACTGGCCCACACGAGGAATGTTTTCGAGGACCCTGACACGAACACTGGTCGTTTCTCCGCGGGACGGGTGTCGCTTCTCCGCGGGACGAGGGTCGCTTCTTCGTGGGACCATGGTCGTTTCTTCGTGGGACGAGGGTCGTTTTGGCGCGGGGCGGGGTGCGGCGGTGGGAGATACCACTCCCAAGCGCACCGTTTGGCAACAGCGGAGGTTGAGGTCCTGTCGGCCTTTTCCTGGGCTAGCCAGTTTTTTGGTAGTCCGACAAGCCCGCTCCAACGGCCCGCCGAAATGCACCCTGCCCTGCAATCAATAAACAACAAATCACAAACGGCACAGCGGACTCCGACTTCCGGCGAACCCCCATTTACAAGAAGGCTCCCTCATTTTTACTTGGCACAATTTTGCCTGACGAACCTTGATTCAGCAGTCCTTCTCGAAACCGAAGGCTTTCTATGTTCAACCTTCTAGGGGGGAGCTCTGTAACGCCCAAAAAGATAACTCGTATTTTTCATGTACAATTTACTTGTTGACCGATTGCACATTATTTCTTTTTGTTTTAATCGTCCTTACAATCGGCTGAACACTCGACAGCCTTGTAAGTTCCCGCGCTCACGTGTTCGCTCTATTCTCGCTTCATCCGTCGGCCGCTTATTGTAGCCCATCGAATACAGTCCACTGTGTCCGACTCCGATTGCCTTCTGATATGCGCGTTTAATTTCGCGCACCGTCTCGGACTAGTATTAACTAGTCCTACAAGATGCCCTTGTGAGTCAACAGTGACCACTTTTCACT